AGCATTTGATTGACCACGAGTTGAGAATCACTCTTGATTATAATTTGTGTTATGCCGAGTTCTCTTGCCAATTCTAAACCTGCAATTACAGCCTCGTACTCTGCTTCATTGTTAGTTATAGAATGACATTTTAAAGCTTGCCTAATAGTTTCACCCGTAGGTGGTATGAGAACTGTACCCAGACCTGCTCCTTTTACATTAGATGAACCATCAGTGAATAAAACCCAAGTCCCCGGGTTTGCACCATTAAAAACTTGTAATTCTTTTCCTGCTTCTAAATGCATCCCTTGACTAAAATCAGCCACGAAATCAGCTAGTACTTGAGATTTTATAGTGGTCCTGGGTTGATAAATGATTTCGTATTCACTTAGTTCTATAGCCCATTTTGCTAATCTTCCTGACAGTTCGTGTTTATGAAAAATATTTCGAAGCAGAAAAGTAGTAACTACAACAATGGGATGGAATTGAAAATAAGGTCTTAATTTTCTAGATGCCATGATCAAAGCTAATGCTAATTTTTCTAGTTGTGGGTATCGTGTTTCAGCATCTAGTAAGGACTTACTTACATAATAAATAGGATATTGTTTACCTTGGTCCTCACGGACTAAAACAGCACTTACCGCAACTTCAAACACAACCAGATAGATGAGAAACTTTTCTCCCACCTTTAGTTTTGCCAATAACGGTAGTTTTGACAAATAAGCTTTCAAATTTCTAAGGGCTTGTTGACAATCTTCATTTCATTCAAAATGATCTTGCTTTTTGAGTGCAGAGAAAAACTTAAAACANATTAAAGTTATATCCGCCGAACCTTGCCTTTAAACATCTGTCATCATCTCGTGACTCTTGTCTGTTCCGATCATTTCTGAATCTTGATGAAGAACCAGATTCCATGTTCCTCGATTTTTTATCATATTGCTGGCTATCTTGTTTTGACCGTGAGTCTTTTCCTGTAGGTCCCATATATGGATCGTACCTGTTTTTACCTGATATTTTTTCTGTTTCTGATCTTCTAGAACCGCCCCTTTCTTCATGATGAAACTTAGGTATGGTATCTTCTTCAATTTGCAGCTTCGTACTGTACCTGTTGTAAACATCATTCCACGTGGTTGCANCACATTTTTCTGGGTTGAGTTTCATATTAAATTTTCACAAAATTTCGAATGTAACAGATAGATGAGAAATATGATCATGAGACTGTTGGGTTTTGACGAGCATGTCGCCTAAATATACCTCCATTTTCTTTCCTAAATGTTCTTGGAACATTTTGGTGACCAACCTTTGATAGGTTGCCCCAGCATTTTTGAGACCAAAGGGCATTACTTTATAACAGTAAGTCCCCCTGTCTGTGATGAAATAAGTTTTTTCTTCATCACTGTGGTCCATTTTAATTTGGTTGTACCCTGAATATGCATCTAAAAAACATAAAAGTTCATGTCCTGCAGTTGCATCAATTAATTGATCTATATATGGTAAAGGAAAAGAATCTTTTGGACAAGCTTTATTAAGATCTGTATAATCTACACAGACTCGCCACTTACCATTTTTCTTAGGTACAACNTAATTTTCAGATAAAAGAGAATACCAGGTTAATGTACCCTTGGTAAGTGTTTCTCCAAATATCTTGACCAGTACTTATTCAATTTCTTGTTTGGTCAAGTCGTTGCCTTTCAGGCCTGTTGTAAATGCAGTCACGTGGGTCTGTAGTACCATCATATTTCGGGATATCAGGCATTTTGAACTTTTTCGGAATTNGCTTACCATTTTTCTTAAGTACAACAACTGTGTTGGCTAACCAATTAGGGTATTTTACCTCGCGGATTGACCCAATTTTTAATAGCTTTTGGACCTCATCTTGAATCACCTGGTTTTTGAAAGCCCCNCTACTAAATTTTGCAAATAGGAATTATTTGAATTACCTGGTCCCTCTTCCTGTGGTTCCTCCATTTCCAGAATTAACAAGACCAGAACGAGGATTCTCCAATGTATTATTATTAGGAGTTGGTGTGGGTNAAAAACAGTCCACGTTAGATTTTAGAAATTCAATTAATATACCTCGCATATTTGAGTTTAAATTAGCTCCAACATAAACTTTCCATTCAGGCCACTGCTCAAATAATATCACAGNTCCTGAAGAGCTTTGCCGACCTGTGCATCAATTAGTTTTTGTAAAGCTTCATTTGCACCTCCTTCAAAATGTTCAGATTGTTCTTGTTGATCAGCACGGGATTCAGGAGCAGGAGTGCTTTCACGAGATTGACGTGGTGAATCTGGAGGGGAGGGAACCATGTCAATGTTCGGTAGGTCTCCTTGATTTTGATGGATTTGATTTTCATGGTTTCCCAATGTGTTATCACTGTTATTGTTGTTGTTGTTGTTTGACATGTTGATAAAGACGAATAAAACGTAGCTTCAAAGAAAAGATAATCAAATTCCCGGTAACGGAACCAATTTGTTTAACCAAAAATATGATTCTTTGGTCAAAGCTAAAGACAAATAGAAATTCGGGCTACTGGTAATCAGGAGATGAAAAAGAAATAATAGACTTTTTGAGAATGACAAATAAGCAGTAAATAGGTTTGTATTCCAATGTAATATTGATGATATCCTCTGTCCTTACAAATGACGAGACCTCCTCCTTTTATAGTTGATTCTAAGTAAAGGAGTAATACCTTAGTCTTAATGAGACAATTATGAGCAATAAATGACATTAAATAAGACGTTACACAATCATTCCTATTTAATACCAATTCTCTAATGTATTGGGTATTTAATATTGAATTTGGACTCCTTTTCGTCATCATATCCATGTCTTCAATGCCTTCTAATTTCTTGGCTTTAAATGACCTAATAGGTACGAAGCTTGTATTATTCGAATTGCCTCTCGTGCCTATTTAGCTTTCATTTCCCCGTATTTGTTGTCACTCGTGCCTCTTAACTGATCATCATGTTTTGATCATTTGACCAGTCCTCGTATCATGCCATGTCACCTTCAATGTAAATTCAGTTTTTTTCCCAATACAGTTGGATCTGCCATGACTGCCGGTAAGTAAATCATAAGATGATCAACATAATTTTTTTTTCTTATCAATCATTATATAAACTCGGTCGCGCTCATGAATGACGTCATTAAATCTCACTTCTTTAACTTCATTATCATACAATCTAACCAAAATGTAAAGACTCTTGTCAACTGTTGGACAAGTAAAAAATGATTTGACTATAAATTATATTTATAAGCGTGATAGCTGGTGGTAAGCAAACGCCAAAAAAATGAATTGTGATACAACCTGAGCACTTAATATTGAACCTATTAGATAATTGTACACTAATTATATTTATTTTTACTCTTTGTATGTTCTTCCAATGCATTACAGTAGCTATCATTTAAACACCAAAACATATAAATACGCCAGGCATCATTTATGAATTAACTATAGTGAAGGCTTCCAGGATGGCTTACCAATTGGAAGGTGTTCATTATTTTTGGATGGCTTAAGCCCAACTGAAATTATATTTGCATTAACAGACCAATTTTCAAGATGTGTGACAATCAAGCTTGTTCCATTGCATAGGCCTTCTTGGTTTAGAGATTTTTGAGAAGCATAACTGGAGTACTTATTTTTTAAGCGTATGTCACGATTAGGGATGCCAACGAATTTTAAGCTGTTTAGAAACTCAGTTGGATACAATAGTTCTTCATCATTAGTGTTCACTCTCGCTTCGCATACATTGTTAGAGCTAAAATATATTCTTCCTTCACCTAGTATCATTTTCATTATTGTATCATTCTACTCATGCACCATTTCATTTCTTGGTGTTAGTATTGCTCTTTCTTTCAGATATGCCGAGTCATCGTACTTCTACAGGAGAGGTGGATAAGCTGTCTCGACAATTGATCCGATTGAGTTGTTAGATGATTTGATGCATGCATCAGGAGGCAGTTATATGAGCTTTTTGTTAATATCATCGTAAAAGGATCCGGCTCTAACCTGGAACAACCATTTGTCAAAAGCAACAATTTTAGCAGCTTCTGATTCACTTACTTTTTCATTGCATAGTGAAAAATGGGCACAAATACTAGGAGTCTAGTGATGCATTAACAATATCAGTTCGTGTACCCTTTGGAATAACCGGTAATATTTGATAGAAATTACCACCACATATGACTGTAAGTTCTCCAAAAGGTTTGTCATATCTATTTTCATACCTCACTCGCAGGATATCTCTCAAGGTCTTGTCTAAGGCTTCAAAACAAAATTTATTTGCCTTTGGGGCTTCATCTCACATGATCAATAAGTTTTGTCTGGAAATTCAGCTAACTGGCTGCCTTGTCTGACTTCACAAGTTGACTCTGCCTTGATGTTAATTCAAAAGAATATGGAAGCCTGAATGAGCTGTCCTACCATATGGTAATAACAAAGCTGCTATATATTCCAAAAGTAGCAACGGGAAGCACTATTTTTTATTGTGATCTGAGCTTTAAAATTATTGTATTCTATAGAAATGTCTTGCCAGTACCATCATGTTCATTTATAAAAAATAAGCGGCCTTCTTCATTCTCAACTGATGTTATTATTGAATCATAAGCTGAGTTTTGGCAATCATTTAAGAGAGCGAATGATTTCTCATGCACTATCTTTAGCTCCTCTTCATCACAGTCTAGCTCCTCATTGATCAAAGGATTTCCTAAGTCGCGCAGTAAGGCAGAATCTGGAAGTGGCATTCCATCTCTGTCTTTCAAACTTTATCCCATCTTAAAAAGGATGCTTTCAGTCTCGTATAACGTATAAGCTTCAAGTTATTTTTCCGTTAACTGTAAAGTTATTTTTTCGTTAACTGTAAATCCTTTAACCGAGATCTCTTTCTATGTTATATCATCTTTAGTTCCTTCCGTTCCATATATACAGGCTGATATAGTTTCCAAATTATTAGATGTACAACTTTTAGTGTTCCATAGCTTTTATCTTGCAGGCAAGTTTACATGACAACAAAAATCAGAACACGGGAAACTAGAAGATCTTATAAATTTGGTTCAGGATACAGACAACACTACTCTTATAAATATATACATTTATAAGTTCAAATAAAAATAAGTTGTAGAGCAATTTTTACATTAATACATCTACTGTAGTTACTAACGAAAAAACAATAGAACACAATAATATTCTAAGATAGGCCCACTTTAAAAGTTCCAAAACCAACAGTAGACGATCTACTTCTTGGTTTTCTTTTTCTCTCCATCACTATCTTCATCATCATGTATGATTAAGTTCTCTTCCTAATCTATCTTGATGAAGTTCTTCTCTTCATACTCTTAACACAGTGATAGACATGTAGATCTTCCTGACAAGTTTTCAGAATAATCTTTATTTACATATCTATGATATAGGTTAATTTATTTAATAGATGGAAGCTCCCTAAATAAAATGGTAAAGAAAACTACCTTTATTTCAATAAATCTTTGTTTTGGTTTAATGTTATCCTCCATTGTGCTTTTCCCCTGCATAAGTAACAAAACGTAAGGCATACTCACACTGTGCAAGTAAATTTGGATTAGAAATGAAAGAATCTAATATTACAATACCTTTTTTTCTTTCCTTAATATGTATTGTAATTCCATGTTCTCGTCTGGAACGAACAACTTTGATATTAATGTAAAATTTCAAGCCCCTCCTTAAGATTGTAATTGTTTAATCTTAGCTTGAAAACAAAATCTTTCTCACAAAGGCTTTGGATTTGTGGAGGTACATCATTGCTATCCAATGGCAGCCTATTGAACAACTTGTGAACAGATGTATAAAGGAGCTAGTTTCCCCGCAACCACATTAAATAGGACCAAAGTAGTCTCCCCGGTATTATCCCTAATTCTGACATGTATTTTGTACCTATGGTTACTTAATAAGTTAGAGAATAAATGACATTATAAATCACATGTACATTATTACTTGCTTCCTTACTTCACCAAAAGAATTGGCATGTATAGACCGTTAGACACCGTATGCAGGTACAATCTTCTTTGAGCACGAGTTGTATGAAATATAGTATCAATCAAAATAGTTGTCTATTTCCTTAATGTTTCCCCTCACATTCACAGTGTATTCCTAACATATAAAACACTCCAATTATATAGTATAAGCATGTTGAGAATTGGGTATTTTTAAAAAGAGGCAAGAATATGGAAATCACCTCTATTTCGGCAGGAATATGGAATTTCCTTGTATTTCGGCACTCCAGTCAGACTCCAATAACTCATTAATGGTCATCCTGTTGAAAAACATCTCTTCCTCAATGAGACTTCTATTGATATTAAGGCTTTCAATAGTTTGTACCCGAACCGATATGGATGCAAACTTTTGAATCGACGATAATATGTAATCTATTTCAAGATTTACAAATATTTTGCTTGCAGATGTGGTGGTGATGGTAACCTCACCTATTAATAGTGAATGGAATAAAAACCAAATTTTAATACATCTTCAGTACATAAGTAGTAAAATACATAGCAATGATCATTAAATATAAAAAATTACCATGAAATTGTTTAACTGTTGTAGAAGTCACTATGACAATGTAAGGGCCAGAGCCATTATACATATAAGATCAAACTTTTCTCCAAATTCTTCCCACAAAGTTATTTTTAATTACGTAGAATTGTCCAGGGAAAAAGATGAAACATAATTTAGTTGAATAAAAATCCATAAGATTTATCTAAAATATAATATAAAGATATGTGCATAAACAACTTAGAAAACAAAATGAAGGTAGCAATTAATCCTTTTTTTGGAAGATAACAAACAAAAGGTAATTAAAAAGCGATGTGAGGCTTAGTACTCCCTCTGTTTCATATTAAATGAGGTACTTTCCTTTTTAGTCTGTTCCAAAACAAATGACACATTTTCAAATTTGGAAATAATTTAACTTTAAACTCTTTCATTTTACTCATTTACCCTTAATGAGAAGCCTTTATAGTCACACAAATGTCATGACCCTACAAACTTTTTACCCCTTAAGCTTTTAAGACCACAAGTTTCAAAAGTCTTCTTCTTTATTCTTAAACTCCGTACCGAGTCAAACTACCTCATATAATATGAAACGGATGGAGTAATTGGTAACAACTTCGATGTCCCCTTTTTCCCACTTATTTCCAACACTCTCTTAGCCTGTTTGGCCAAGCTTATTTTTGGTCAAAAGTGTTTTTTTTTTTTTTGCCAAAAGCACTTTTGGCCAAAAATGAGGTGTTTGGCCAAGCTTCTGGAAGGAAAAAAAGTATTTTTGAGGAGAAACAGAAGCAGTTTTGGAGAAGCAGAAAAAAATAACTTCTCTTCAAAAGCACTTTTTTGAGAAGCACTTCTGAGAAAAATACACTTAGAAACAGTTTATTAAAGCTTGGTCAAACACTAATTATTGCTCAAAAGTGCTTTTCAAATTAATTAGCCAAACACAAATTGCTTCTCACTAAAAGTACTTTTGAGAAAAGCACTTTAAAAAAAACACTTCTCAAAATAAGCTAATTTTTGCAACTTGGCCAAACGGGCTATCTATGTTATCAATGGTGCATAGACAACCAACCACATCTACAATATAAATTAAAAGAAGCAGACATTTCATAATTATATTGGAATTAAGCAAAATGTCGAAACAAAGATTGATAGTAATAAATGTGCCTGATAACACGGTATTATCGTTCAACCTTGAGCTAATCATTTCTGGTTTTATGAATTCAAATCCGTTTTTAGGAATATTAACAATTTCTTCGCGTAGTTCGTGGAGCGAAGTTATGGGTAAGAAAGTAATTTTAAAAGAACTTGTCGCTGAATGGTGTATTCATTCTGTACAGCTATTATTTTTTTAAGGTGCATTTCATGTTATAATATAGTCTACCCTCCATATAACTAAACTGTATATAAACAAATATTTAGAGTTATTGTTGTACAATGTGTGGCCTATAATTTTTGCCCTTTTTTTGGTATATAGCTGTGACTAATCATCCAGTTATTTCTCTAGAAGTAAAAGAAGAGGTGTGCATTTTGAAGGCAAAGAAGATGATTTAGATAAGGGTGAAAAGGCAATAATACTGGATAATAGAAATAATTTATTACATAGCCATCACTATTTTGCAGGGGAAAAATATATTTCTGATCAACACAATGTTGGAGGCCATCGCATTGTGAAAGTACAATGCAATCCTCCTTTGTGCAACAATTTTGTAGCGGATTCTTCATAGCGGATCATATTTTGGTGGGGTTTCTTTATTTTATATGATCACTACATTGTTGAACCAATGTTAAATGCATATGTCGCTTCAAGCAGAAAACAATAATGTAGAGAAGCTCAGTAGATATTACCTAAAGTATAACATTAATTGAAAGATGTTGTCACCAAATCTTAAAAATATGGTACTAATAGTATTTCAGAATATTTGGACCATTAATTCTGAACTGTGCGAAAATCTGATTGGTGAGGAATATTAGGAGTGTACCTCAATCTCGTAACGACGTTTTGTATTCGTATTCCTTGTGCGTCAACACCATACTTGTAGAGCGGAAAGATTTGTTTTGTCTTGTATACCTTGTGCGTCCACACTTATATTAGTTGAGCGAACAGATTCTGGGAGCATAAAAGGTAGTATTTTCAAGTTCAATTAGATTAGTCGAATAAACCAGCACAATAATTGGTAAGAATAATCGGTAAACATTCTTCGAAAAGGATTGCATACCAACATTTAAGGATTGAAAATTTTGTCAGAACATGCCGTGGGTAAAGAATGGGGACATTAGTAGGGGATTGAAGATACTGTTTCCTTCAGCAAAAAAAACTGTAGGTTTTTTGGGAAATTGAAAGGGTGGATAAGTACAGAGAAATTGGAAGATTTAGAAGGAGAGCAAGTAGGGGGAAAGGGAGTAGAGAATCGTTACCATACAATCGTTGTGAGAGAATCGTTGAGTAGATGAAGTATTGAGAAATTGTAAGCCTGCAGAATCGGTGTGGAGGTGAAGCGGTTTGGGTGTATTGTTTTAAAAAGCCAAAAAATCTTAGAGGCAGAAAAGGGGATTTCCCGATAGATGAGAGCGCCACATCACCTGCGTTAGGTCCCTGAATTATATATATATATATATATATATATATATATAGATTATTAAGATTCAGTAAACTAGTTTTACGCTAGGTGCGACTTTCAAGTTTAAATTAAATAATGCATCCAATGTGCCCTAAATATATACAAAAAAACATTTAAAGAATGAGCCGCTGATCAGTCATTACCAGTAGAGGCCGCAGTCCTTTAAACAAATAATTAAATTCATTTTTTTAAATCTATTTAAGGATAATTAAAAAAGAGGATTAAAATTTTCAAATAGAGAATATATTTAATGATGCATGCATAAGGTCCATCAACTTGATTCCCCGTCACCATCCAGTACTGCCCTTTTTAACTACAAATGGTCTTCTCTATTCCATTATCTTAATTAATATTCCATCCGTTTCAATTTAGATAATACATTTCGCTTATCGATAGCCAAACTGTGTGGAGTTTGACCAACATTTTAAAATGTATTTCTTAATCATATTTATATGAGAAAATTGTAATTTATAATATTTTTCGTATAGTTTTTAAATATCTAAATTTTAATTTTAAATTATTGAGTTGAATTAATCAAATGTCGCTTCAAATTAGTCAAATGGACTCTCGATAAGAAAAAATGTATTATCTAAATTAAAATAGAGGGAGTGCTTATTTTATTGCGTTCAATTAATAGATAGACCAATAGAAGAAAATAAGAAGGAAAAAAAATCCCCAAAAAGACTTCTTGCGGCGACCTTAAGGAGAATAATATCGTCACTAAGACTTAATTGTGGCGACCATTAATCAAAAGACGCCACAAAAAGTTGCAAATGAAGAAGAAAGTTGCCAAAAAACATTACCCACAAAATTATTTTCAATTAAGAATTATTCAAACAAAGCATTTGAAGCTCCACCACAGCTTCATCTATCTCTTAACTCTTCCCCTTTTTTCTCCACCATTAAATTCTTTATAGCTTTTGCTATCTCCTCAGCTTTCACTTTTCCATTTTCCTCTCTCTTTACTTCCAAACCAACACCAAGCTCCACCATATATCTTGCAGCTATAAATTGATCAACAAGCACTGGCATAGCAATTAAAGGCACCCCAAAATATAAACTTTCTAATATAGAATTTGATCCACAATGATTTAGAAATCCACCAATATTAGAATGCCTTAGTATCTTTGCTTGAGGTGCCCATTTGGCCACAATCATGCCCCGCTCTTTCACACGTTCGATGTATCCTTCTGGCAGAATCTTATCGCTACCACTAATCTTCTCATCAAATGAAAAATTAACAACCCATATGAAATTAACATTACTAAGCTCTAGTCCACGAGCGATTTCTTCGATTTCTTCCTTGTTCACTACTCATTCACTACCAAATGCTGCATACAATGTTGAAGATGGATCCCTTTGGTCTAGCCATTGTATGATTTCTTCAGAGTCTTCCACTCTGCTCTATGTTTTCCCTATCAGCGGACCGACACTGATAACATTTTTCTTAGTTAAAATTGAGAAATATTCCATGTACTTAGTCTCAGTGCACTTCCAATTGTTAATTCAAGTGTTAGATATTTTTAGAAGGATATATTACTTCGAACCTATTTTATTTTAATATAACATTTGAAAAATACAAAAACAAAATTCATATTATATATATAATTTAGTTTAATTAATTAGATCAATTTTTGCATTATGTAATATATTTGTCTTATATTAAGAGGGATTTAACTAAGATTTGGATATCTGTTTTAGCCCAATGTTAAAGGCCCAAATTCGAAGCCCACCCTTCACTAACCCAACAAGACCTAACCTAGATGAACCTTTCTTCTTCCTTACCGAGACTACAAGAAAACTGAGCTTCATCTTCTTCTCCAAGACCATAGGAGCAACAAAAAACCATAGAGATAAAACCCTAGAAATACACAAACATACAAGACAGTCATGGCTTGATCTTCTTCAACCTGAGACTACAACAAAAACCCTAGACACCATAAAAACCACTAGCAGCCGCCAGTCCACCCCCATCGTTGGATCTCTCACGCCGCCGACCACCCACACAGCCGCTGCCATCTCCAAAAAAACAAACAGCCCCGTCTCCGCTGAGAAACCACCAGCCCACGACCATAGCTTCAGCTTCATATCCATCGTCGTGCCACCCCAAATACCAACAAACGAGCCACATTTGACCACCACTAGAAAACCTCCATTAACGTCGCCACATGAAGCTTGAAACTATCTGAAAAACCAGCCACCCAGCTCGCCGGAATCAACCAGCACCCCCCTCGTCACCGCTGGACAGAAACCGACGAACAGCATAGCCATTGCTGCTTCTGCTTTTTCCCCATAAAAGACCACCCACTCGATCTTCACCTCTCTCACTGCCAACGTTGACAGCAAATTTCAGTCACAACATCAGCTCTTGAGTCGCCGGAATCAATGCCGTAAAAAACGACAAAAACAGTTAACAAAGAAGAAGAAGGAAAAACAGAAAATTTAAAAAAAAAAAGAGAAAAATTTTTGCTTATTAACTTTTCAATTCCAGAATTTTGTTCAAGGATAGATTTTGATTTAAATGTGAGTTCGAATCCGTGTTTGGTTGAGTCTGTGGTGATGATTCGAGATTCTGACCGTTTTTTAGCTTCTCGGTCCAGTTCGGGTTCTTGTTTGGTGAGATTCGTCCGTCGAGTTGAGATTTTGGTTCCTGACGCGTTACTGTAATTGCTTGAGGTTCACTCTAACTTCCCTCTTTGTTGATATATTTTGTCACATGTTCCTCTTTGTTACTACATTCCATTACATGTTAAAGTGGTGCATTTGCTTTTAATTCTACTGATTTGATGATCCTTGATGGTGTTAGCATGTGTTAGATTTTATTTGTTTGTGATATTGACGGTTAGGTAATTAAATCGAAAGATATTAGAACATAAATGTTTCATTTAGTTTCGTTTTATTGCTTTGACCGCTTAGAGCATGTTTAGGCCATCATCATCTGGGTAGGCAAACTTTAGGATTTTTGTTAATTTTGGGGCGAGAGGTCGTTCTCGTAGTTAAATTTATCCGGGGAATGCCCCGTGAAGTTTGTATATATTATTACCCGGAATTTGCCCCGAAGAACTATGTAAATATTTTGGAGGCCTTGGCGTGCACAGCGGAGAAGTCGTAGTATAGGTTAGCTTAGGATTTTTCTTTTCCTTTCCTTCTCATTTTCTTTCATTTAGGTGGGGACGACCTCGAGCCTCTTGTGTGTTTATTTTATTTCTGTGTGTTTTACCTCAATTCGAATGTTTTGAAAGCCAACTAGATCGAGTACGCAACCGTGACCTTCACGGGACTTAGGGAGTGTCTAATACCTTCTCCCCGAGTCAAATGAACCCCCTTACCCTAATCTCTGGTGCGGACTTTGTTTTAGAGTCTGAAACGTTTTAAAAGGAAAAATCATTTTTTAAAAAAAACGGTGACCTAACACACCGAAATCAAATTTCAGGTGGCGACTCTGAGTTAATCCTTTTGAAACGCAATTCTTTATCACTTTCAAATGAGAAACTCTTTTCAAGCTTTACTAAATATTTTAATATTTTAAGAGGGTTAAGTGAGGTTTGTAAGAAAAAAAAAGGGTGTGACATCTCTGGCAACTCTGCTGGGGAATTGCAGGTTCGAGCTAGTACTTGATCTTGTTGGTTTTTAGGATATTCAATTGAGGTTTTTATGTGTTTTGTTTACTTTTTATTTTGTTTATGTCGTTTTTATTTGCTTGTTGCTTATTTGTTTACAGTTTTTCCTTTATGTGTTACTTCTTTATAAATTGTCATCATTTGCATAACCATTGGTCTTCTTTCTGCAACCAGTCTCGGAGCACGTGTCGCGTGCACGAACTCTTTGTTGAGTCACCTTTAATTTAGGAGGGGGGGCCGTCGGACGTATGGAGTGGGTGGAAAGCTTGAGCAGCCACCATCGACCATACGCTTCCCTGAATTGCCTTGTTAGTGAACCCCAAACTTAGGTCAGTCTTTAGGTCATTTTTATTTGCATCATATTATTTAGACCTAGTAAGGCTCGATCCCAGGAACCGTGTCCCTTTGTAGGAAGCCTATCCAAATTTTGTCAAAAATGGATCTGTGGCCCAAAAAGACATTCAATCATCCCTATGTGGAACATGTTGCATCTTTGAGGGTAGAAGGTCATTTGGCGGACCGATGTTTGGGAAAGAAGGGTGAAAAATGAAGCAAGTAGGGCCCAGTTATATTTTTCTTTCACGACTTTTTCAAGAAAAGACAAAAAAAATTGGAAATAGAAAATCCAAAAAAGATTTTACACTTTTCCATTATTTTCCAAAAATTCAAAAAAAATTAAAATGAAAAATCTAAAAAGATTTTGCACTTTTCCGTTATTTTCCAAAAACCCAAAAAAAAAAAAATCCAATTTTTTTTTACATTCTCCATCATTTTCCAAAAATTCAAAAAGAAAGGAAGAAAAAGAAAATCCAAAAAGATTTTATATTTTTCATCATTTTTCAAAAAAGACAAAAAATATATTTTTCCAAATTAATGTCATTTTTTTAAGCTTTCTCCCATGTCCGATATTCCCGAACTACGTGAACCTGATTCTCGGCTTTCGAGACGTGATACGTAGGCAACTCACATAGGGTCTGATCTTCCTAGTGAGTCTTAGGTTCTTGGCTTTGCGGGGTCTTAGCCAAATCTTGCATGTCTGGCCATGTCGGCCATTGTTGCAAAATGGGGTCATTTTCGCAAAAGTGGTTCAATTACCCATGTCTTAGGATCTTGAGTCCACAACTTGGAGTCATATTACTTTAAGGCACGTCCTTATTGAGTTTGCATCTTTAGCCACTTTTGGCCACATCGACCATTCTTGCAAAATAGGTCATTTTCGCAAAAGTGGTTCATGACCCATGTCTCTGAAACCTGAGTTCGCAACTAAGTGTCCCACTACCTTAAGGTCCGTCCTTTTGAGTTTGCATATTCAGCCACTTCGGTCCATATCGATCATTTTTGCAAAATGGGGCATTTTCACAAATTAATTTTGGGCCATGATGTTCGTAGTTTGAATCCATTGAAGCCTTAGTGAGGCATTTTCCTTGTCCATGAGGTCAATCTTGTTGAGTTTGTATTAATATCCACTCTTGTCCATGTAGTTTAATTTTCAAAAATAGCCTAAGCTTGTCTTGCATGTGTCTAATAGGAGGTGTGGTCTCACATAGTGTCTCGAGTCATTTAATCTGTTTGGTCTTATTTTTTTTCATTCAGGTATGGATTCATTTACCAGGACTTGATCATGACAAATACCCCACGACCATTCTAGTCAAGACCATTGCATGCACGATCTGCTTGAGGAAATTTTTTATTTTTTAGTCTATTTTATGTTGTCTTTTAATTGTTAGTCTTGTACAATAGTATCTAGTCTGTCAGTCTAGTTAAGATTGTCGAGTCTTTTGTTATAGTACTTCCTTTTTTGTATTTGAAAAACCAAAAAAAAAGTTATAAGTGGAAAATCTAAAAGATTTGTTTTAGTTTATTTTATCCATCATTTTTTTCCAGAACTACGCTTTATCTGATTCATGAGGGACATGATACGTAGGCAACCTACATAGGGTTCGATCGAATCATTATTAAAAAGAAAAAAGAAAAAAAGAGAAAGAAGTTGTGGGACGTGAGAAATAGGAGGAAAGAAAAGAGCGATGACCAGAAAGAAAAGAGGGGAAAAGAAATGAAAAACCAAACAGTGTTAGAAAGGAAGATGAAGAGGAAAAGGGGCAAGAATAGTGAAATTGGGATGATGCCATATGACCTTCATACCCTCGAAGCCATTCTAGAACCGTTAACTATGACTAGGGTCAGTGCACGCAATGTGATATTTCTATCTGATAAATGCTCTAACGCTAACATGTCGGCTATGTTTTGGCCCTCTTTGTTACTTTCATTGTTATCATAACAGAGGGTGGTTAGTTTGTGGCACTTTGGTGATTCTTCCATACAACACCAGAAAGCACAAGGCAGTCATGGCTAGCAAAGAAACAGACACTGGGGTTGTAGACCCACCAAAGGAGTTTGTGGAGTCGGAGTCTGAGTTGAAAGAGGAGGTCCAAAGGTTGAAACAACAGATGGCAGAAATGTATCAGTCTTGGGTCAGGGGGCATCCTCCACCTTCATTCCCCACTAACTACACTGAAAACCCTGCAACTATCCTGCCACTATCACAAGCCCAAGTTTCCACTATCGTCGACCTTTCCTCTCAACATGCACCGGGATTTACCCCTTACCACAGTTACCCTGACACTTCCTCCCAAATTTTCCATGCTCCACCAGCCAAAACAACTTCATACCATGCTTCGACATCTGCTCCTATTTTTGTAGCTCCTCCACCAGCTACCCTTCCTCGATCCTCTAGCGAGACTGTGTTCAAAGTCCCCGATGCCCAAGGAAAGAGACCCAAGGAAGGTTTTAGGGAGTTTTGGTTCAGATGGAACGAACAAGTTGCTCGGGTCAGTTCTCCGATTAATAGAAAAGATGTTGTCGAGCCCAGCCAACGACATGATCTAGTGGGCATCCCTGCTAAACGCTTTCAGCCTCAATACCGACCCCATAAATATCCTCGTACTCCAAATAATCCTCATAAATGCTACTTTCCTCCACAGAATCCCCAAAGTCATACCTTTCCTCCCAAGTACTCTATCTACAATGCACCACCATATGCTTCACACTCACAAAACCCGCAATGGCTTGCACTGCCTCCACAAAAGTCTTACCCACCTCAACGAGCATATCAACCCCCTAACCGAAAGAGGTTCCAACCAAGGCCAGAGTATAAAATGAGAAGGCAACAACAAAGAAAAAAGTCTTTCACTCCAATCGGAGAATCCTATACAAGCTTGTTTGAGAAGTTAAAGCATTATGACCTGATTGCACCTATTCCTCTGAATCATGTAGACTCGCGTGCAAGAAGCTTTGACCCTTCTAAAAGGTGTGAATACCATTCCAATGCTCAGGGACACAAGGTCGAAAGTTGTCGGGATTTTAAAAGGGAGATAGAAAGAATGATTCAAGAAAGGATGATTGTGATCCAGGACAGTGATATCCAGAACATTTCACAGAATCCTTTACCTGCACATGATGATGTACACTTTGTGG